TATATATAGATTTGCCTTAAAACGCTTTACTGTTAGCAGAGGTAAAAACAAACACTAGGGTGCCCAAAATCTAGATCACCAGATGTTTTGGTATAACAATTACCATGATGCTCTGCCAGCCTTTAGAAAGGCAAAGCATCATGGAAGGTCTAGTTTTAAAACATCTATGTATCTACTTTTCTGTGACTGATTCATGTGAATTGTTGGAATGTGTGGATATTAACAGCACATTACACAGACCAGAAACCATTCTCGTGTTAGCATATCTTCTAACCTTTTAAAGGGACAGGTTAGTGACATTAAGTCACCATAACAACATCGTCTACATAAAGTTGTTATGGTGCCAGGAGGCCCCCAGCCGCACTCTTATCTTCAGGCATTTTCAGGCAATAAGTGACTCCCCATTTACTAAACTTGTTTAGAAAAGGTATGTTTCATTCCAGGCCAGTTTTGTAAATGTCACAAAATGACTGAAAGCATCAGTTGATGGCTCTCAGCCAATCAGCAGCGCCCCAGCCCCGCGGCACTCCGCCCTTCCTGTAAGTGAAGTTCTGAAGCCGAAGGGAGCTGAGAGTGGTGCTGGAGGCAACTTTGGGGTTAAACCATTTTAAAACGGTTTAACCAATGAAGCTAAGAATGTGCCTTGGGCCTCTTGGCACCATAACAACTTAATTTAGATGAAGTTGTTTTGGTGCCTGGCAGAGGTGTAACTAGAAACCATAGGGCCCCAGTGCAAAAATTGCACTGCCCCCCAGCCCCTTCTTATGTCACATTCATACCCCCCAACCCCAACATGTGTCTCATTCACGCCCCACAGGGTGAGTGTGGCCCTAAGAGCATGAGCCAACCAATGGGCCCCTCAATTCACGGCCCACGCAAATCATACGCCGGGGCCACACCACATTTCAGCTGCGACCCCTGCGACCATGGTAGGTACGCCACTGGACTGGTGCCTGGAGTGTTCCTTCAAGGATCAATGACCGTCCTCATACTATGTCATATCACACCATCAATTAAACATCCTGTAATAAAATTTTAAAAGGCCCATTTGTTAATGTATTCAGTGCTATGAAGAGTTACAGATGTAAAATATGCAGGACATCCCATACTACCACAGGGTCTTTAAGGGCAAGATTGTGATCCTAAGGGGGTTATAATGTGGTTCAAGAGGACATTTTATGTCTAAATTTGATGTAAAGTTAGTTACTACACTGCAGCAGACATTAAATGGTATTATTTACCATAAAACTGCTTTTTGATCCACACATTTATGAATAACAGGTCACTTTAACTATACAAAATATTTCATGTCTTATAGAATGTGTATCCATCTCTTTGTGCGTGTGCACAAATAACTATAGCTGATTGCTTTAAGACTATACAATGCTATTGATCTTAGTGTATGAGAAATTTAAGGCACAACATTGAGTAAGGAATATAATCAGGTAGCACAGTCATGAAGAAGAGATGGAGGGATGACATTTGTAGACTACAAAAATAGACTTATGATTCTTGATCTCAGATCAATATAACATTTAAAAATAATAACCACAACAATCATAGAGGATATAATTGACCTGTGATATACCAACAACATTTTTTATCTTGGGTTATTCAATAAATATAAAAACTATTTAAGGAACACTCCAAATACCATAACCACTTCTTACCTAGTGACCGCTGTGCAGCACTTCCTGCTTCTATGAGAGAGCTAGAAGTTCTCTGTCTGAGCTAAGCTCTTACCCAATGAGCTGACCTGTTTCAGGGTTTAGCTCGGAAGACTTCAGAGAAACACCAAGAAGTAAAACAATTAGCACTGGGTGGGGAGGGTTGGTCAGGGCACTCTAAGCACCATAAGCACCACATGGATTATGGTCCATTGCACTTGGGTGAATCCTCATTGAAGTCACGAATCCTAGTGCTTAGAACTCCTTAAACAATGCACAATACCACACTAAAATACATTTAAAGGATGAAACACAAAAGCATTATTTCAAGGTTATGTAATGTTGTTTGCGCATCATTTGCTTAAGTGAACAGGGAAGAGAGGTTTTTACCATTAGTGGCTATAATCTCCCTCTTGCTTTGCCGTAGGCCACTAGTCACACATTAACGCCACATGGGCTGGTACTTCCCTTTTTTGTGTGTAAATCCAAAATTTGCCTGAACAGTCCCCTTGGCAGAAATAAGCAAATCTTAGTAAACAAAAACAATATTGCAGCAATTGTAACCAGGTACTCACTCAGACTCCAGTCAACAGGAACAGTCAATGCTTGAATTATCTAACTTAGAACAAATAATTGACTGGATCTGTCCATATAAAAAAAAATATAGCACTTCAATCTCCCTCTTAGAAGCTATTTAAAAATAGTACAAAGTGGTGGCATAACCCAATATTAAAATACAGGTGTAGCACTAGTAAAAGAAAATGTGTACTGAAATAAAAAAAAAAAGTGCTTGATTTTGTAAAAGGATTATGAAAACAACATTAGATAAGTTATGTTTTGGCCATTCTGAATGAGAGATGAAAAACTCTGTATGAATAAATCAATCAGGCCAGATTTCCCATTGGGAAGATCTGGCACCTGTCAATAGGCACCTGTTCTGTAGGGGGTGCCTGTTTTCAGTACTTATAATGTGCCTTTATGGAGCTCAAGTGGGCAGATGGGGAGAAATAAGTACCAACCTTGATTAGTGTCCTCTGTAGTCAAAGAAGCATACGACTGGACCATTCTGATTGGCTCAGAGCGCATGCGAAGTCTGAGCTGGGGAGGGTTGGAAGGGAGTCAAGGGTGGGCAATGGCGAAAAGGATATTGGGAAGAAAAAAAAAACTGTGTGAAGAAACTACCCTGTTTTGTTCGTTAACTTGAATTTTTCTTGCTCGGTAGATAACACAACCAAACACCGACCACCCCCCTTGCTTATTAACTACAAAGGGAACTGCAGATTAAGTGCTCTCTCTGTGTAGCCGCCGTTCGTTTGGACGAATGACACGTGCTGGAGAAAACAACGGCCATCTTGTTGCACAAACAGAGGCAGCTGGACTTTGTCGTCGAATTTCAGGACCTAAAATCTGACACTCGACTTTCAGCGAACTTCGTGAACGCCTGCTTCTGTTTACCAACCAGCCAGGAGAGCGCTATTTTTAGAACACTGCTACCTCTGAAACTGTGGAACTGTTTTGGGCATAAGACTTTGTGTGCGGTCGGTCAAAATATAACTTCCATGGAAATCCTGAACCGATTTGGGTGATTTTTGGATATGCTGGTCCCCCAGGTCGGGGCTATCAGTGGATGTGACTGTTGTGGGGGTTTCCATATGCTTTGGGAGTATTTTCGGGGTGTTATTAAAATGTATGTTTTTTGTGCCTGGAGATAATTGAGTTTAGTACAGTTCCTGACTCAATTATTTCACAGTCACAGGGGAGGCATTATCTTGTTTTGTGTGGGAGTGTCCCGGATCTGAGAGCCAATGTAGTTACAATGTATTTTGTCATAGTCCCCTCTCAGGTCCAGTGGGGAATGCCCTTGGAATTGTCACCGTAAACCCTTGGCATGGGGACTTGCATTTAACCGGCCAGTTGGCCGTAATAAATTCATTCCTGTTGTACCCTTCATCTAGTTTAGGCTGATGTTTGGGTAGCGTCCGATTGCTGGGAGGATTTAC